CTAGCAATCAGGGGCAAGTATTCTCATAGATAAAGAGAGTTTAAGAATAAAAAGGTGGAACTTCTACAGAAGTGACTTCTTTAGTACAAGTATTGACTGATTTTTGTTGTTGTCGTTGTGCACTGTTGAGTCGATTCTGACACATAGTGACCCTATGTGACAGAGTAGAACTTCCCCATAGGGTTTCCTAGGCTGTAATCTTTACTGGAGCCAGGTCTTTTCTCCCGAGGGGCTGCTGGTGGATTTGACACGCCAACCTTTCAGTTAGCAGCACTTAACCATTGTGCTACCAGGCTGGTTTAGTGACCTCAAAAGTTGTGGCACTTTCTGCTATGTTAAAACTATATGTGGCAGCTTTGCGTTACAGAAGAAGGGGCTATGAAGGTATTTCCTCCAGTGTGTACCAAAAAAGAGCTGCACTTGGATCTAGTTTTTAATTTTGTTGAAACTTCTCAGTGGAAGAAGCTCAAGCCCAGGGTTTAAGGAGACAAAGGATTTTGTTGACCTTTGTGCCAGCTGCAAATGTCAGTAGTGAGTTAACTGTGCTATTATGCTTTTAGTATGGTTGTTCTTTTTTTTTTTTTGAGTGCTCTTTGTACCACGTTCCATGGGTTTTTTTTTCTGTCTTTTCATAAACCTTGTTATTTTTAAAAAACTGTGTAATTTTGCAGAATGTGAACTTCTCAACAGTGTGGTGGAAACTAACCAACTTAAAAACAGCAGCCTGTGACAATTAAGTGTAAACAGGTGTTGATTGCATCCATGTAGAATAGTGATTCTCGACCAGTGGCAGTTTCCCCAGGAAACATCAGACTATGTCTGTAGACATCTTTGGTTGTCACAACTGGGCAAGTGGGTGCTAGTGGCACCTGTGGGTGGAGGCCAGAGATGCCACTAAGCATCCTGTAGTGCACAGACAGCCTCCTACAACAAAGAATTATTTTGCCCAAAGTGTCAGTAGGGCGGAAGTTGAGACACCCTGCTCTAAAGGATTAGTGATGTTTAAGTGTGCTTCTTGGGACATGGTAAGTACTCCAACATGGTTTTGATTACTTTTACTTTATATTATAATCTCATCCGGTTTAGTCAATCCTATCTCTTATTATTTTCGTAGTAAAATTCCTTGATTTGTAGAGATTAATTTTCAAATCATTTTATTGACTTCTAAAACGAAATTCTGATTAACCTATTGAAATATTTATGGGGAAATGATATCCTTAAGATTTTAAATCTATAGTCTTTATTTGCTCTTCATCTTTTTTGAAAGTTTTGTAAGCCCTACCAGAAGTTTTGTTTCTTAGTATTTTATATTTTTGCTGCCTTAATGAATGCGGGCTTTTAAAAAAAAAAATTGTGTTTTCTTTGTTAAGAATGCCATCGAGGATTTTTTGTTTTTGTTTTTTTTTTTGTCATTGTAAATATATCACACAACTTTTGCCAATTCAACTTTTTACAGGAGTACAGCTTATTTACAGCAATTACATTAATCGTTTGTGCAACCCTACCCTTAATGAGATTTTTCATCACTGTAAACCGAAATTCAATATTCCATAAGTAATAACCCCTCTCCCCTGCCCCTGGTAACCACTAAGAAACTTTGGTCTCTGTGTTTGCCTGTTCTTGTCTTTGTATATATTTTCTGTTTGGTTGCCATTGAGGATTTATTTTTTATTGTGCCATTCCAGTAACTTCTTATTCCTTTGATTCATAACTTACTGCATTGGTCAAAACTTTCAGAACCGTATTACAGCAAAAATGGTGATATATAATATCCTTGTGTATTTCTGAATTTAACATAACATAAAAGTATAGTAGTCTGACACTTGGTGCAAATAAGATAAATCGTATTTAGAACAAAGAATATTTTCAGTTGTCCAGGAAAGGGCCTCTAGGATGATAGTTCCTTACAGCCTGAGTTCTTAGAGTCTGTGAACAACATTACGTGCTTGTGGTTGCTGTTGTTAGCTGCCAGCGAGTCACCCCAACTCATGGTAACCCCATGTGTTAAACAGTGTAGAACTGCTCTGTAGGGTTTTCTTGCTTGTGATCTTTACAGAAACATATCACCAGTCCCTGCTCTTAGGGGAGAGATATACTAAGGAAATACTTTGTCAGTACTTCCTAGAAATCTTAACTATAGCTGGAGAGTTAAGGCTAATACAGTTAAAATCATTGCTGGATCTTCATTTCTTCACACTTAACGTGAATCAGCAGTAGTAAGCTATGTACAATCATGTAATTAGTTGTAAATACATTTTGCAGGAATTTAGAGGTTAGGGAGATCTTTGTGAGCTGGGCTACTTGATGTGGGATTTCAGCAAATTGGAATGGCCTAGATTATCATAAATGGAGGAGGGAAGCGAGATTATTGCAAAGACTGGAAAGAACGTGACCAGAGCACAGACTTTCTCTTGGTTCAGTCTCTGGCTCGTACCCTGACCATTTCGAAGATTGTTGCTAGTTTAGCTGAGAATTTAATTATACAGATTCTAAATAAGTTAACTCAAGGGCTTCTTAAAAGTTTTTCTCCTGTGAAGAAGTGATCAATCTGTGATATAAATGTAATTATATATTGAATTCAAAATGGGGGATCCCCGTTTAGTCTAGAGTGAGTGACATAGAACGTTTCTGTGGTTATTCTTTTTTGTTGTTGTTCCATGGTATTCTCTGTATTTTTAGTGTTAGTATAAATGCACCCAAGAGTGTTTTATTATTGTTTGTAGTGAATTTATTTAGAATTCTTATACTATTTGGGTTCTTTCTGCGGTGTGCTGCAGGATATGTGAAAAGAATTGAAATTTATTAATTTTAACCACCTTGACTTGGAAAAATAAATATCAGGATTACGCTTATATTCTTGAGTAAATAGGAGAAAGAGCTTAACACTGAATAACTCCATTTCATCCTGTGTTATTTAAAAAATACAGATTCAGTGTAGATTTCAAATGTCGATTTATTTGTATTTTTACCATTACTATCTTTAAAAAGTTTTATTTTTAGATACGGGGCGGGCAATGGTGGTTCAGTGGTAGAATTTTCAACTTCCGTGTGGGAGATCCAGGCTCAATTTCCAGCCATTGCACCTCAGGGCAGACATCACCCATTTGTCATTGGAGGCTTGTGTGTTGCTATGATGCTAAACAGATTTCAGCAGAGCTTGCAGACTAAGACAGACAGTGAGAAAGGCCTGGTGATCTACTTCTGAAAAATCAGCCAATGAAAAGCCTATAGATTAAAGTAGTATGATCATGTTCTGCATTGGGGTCACCATGAGTTGGGTGTCAGCTCCATGGCAGCTAAAAACAGCAGTTTAAGATACAAGGAAGTTAATTGTGTCATTTTCCTTTCTCAAGATGCATACAATTTAATAATAAACCTCATGTGGTATACCTTGGCTCAGTATGTTAGAAAGGTAAATAAAATCGAGGAAAATGAAGTCCTTTCATTTTTCGCCAATTACTCTCTCTGTTCTGTGCTTCTTTAGGTTGGGAGTGGGAATTGGCTCTCTGGTTATCTACTTTTGAACAGAGGCTGGGTGGGCAAGTCGTCCCCATCATGACAGCAGTGGCTGCCTTAGGAGACTGCAGGTGGGCTGACTGGTTCTGCCATCTTCCTTTCTCTGTTTGGGCCATTGATAGAGGTCTGCGACTACACAGGGACTGAGCGCATTGGAGGCCCATAGCCTGTGCTCGCCAGTCATCAGGAATGTTTGGCCTCAGAGTATGATTTCAGTCCACGCAGGGCACTATGCCTGATAATAGAGATGCTGTGTCAAAAGCAGAACAAAGCCCAATCCGGTCCCTGTCACCAGAGAGCTCCTAACCTAGTAGAAAATCCAACCCATAGCTTGTAAACCAAAATTCCATTTGACTCCCAAGTCTGTTTTCCACTCCTGTCCTTAGTCTTGGTATCTAGTCCTGCCCAATGGCCATATCTCTTTATGAGATATTGATAAAACATTCTCATTAAGTTCAGTCTTGCCCTTAGCCCTCATCCCCGACTTGTGTTCCTTCTTTCTCTTAATGCCAACACTTCCCATGCAGCTCCCAAGACTTGAAATCTACCCTCCACATCAACTCTGTCACTGACGTACCAAAATCTTCTCTCTTTGCTCCCTGTCAGCCACTCTCACTGCTGTATTCTCGCCCCTCATTACTTCCAGCTGAGACTCTTAGAGGAGTTTGATAATATGTCTCTCTGTCTTCAACACATATTTCCATAGAGCAAATTATATACTATTACTAAGTATAAGGTTTGAAGTATGGTTCTGGTCTTGTCACTCCCCTACTAAAAAAGCAAAGGCTTTTCATTACCTCCGAATAAAATCTACTCAGCTGAACCTGCAGAATCTTCAGTAATATGTTTATAACCCACTTCTCTTAGCTTGTCTCATTCCCCTTAATGTACTCCAGAAAAAATGAGCTACTTTTCTCCTATCACATTTTAATGTCCTCCTGACTTGGTTCATGTTCTCATTTTTTTCTTCAAGTCCTTACCCCTTTTCAGTGCATTCATACCCTTCAGATCTCAGCAGAAATGCCACCTCCTTCATGGTGTTCCCTCGCTAGCCTGAAATGATTTCTCTAATGCTTGGATTCTGACAGCCTTATCTGTATGTGTCTTTTGACACCTGTTTCTTTGTGTTTGTATCATAGTTATTTATACATAAATTTTTTCATAGTTGAAGCGTCTTGTGGCAGAAGTGCTTTCTTGTTCGTCTTCATTTCCCTTACAGCATGAGACCTAGTGCCTCACACATACAGGTACTCAGGAAGTATGTGGTAATGACTAAATGAAGACACCACATGGTTGGTTTGGTTGCTTTTGTCACTGGTGTTTGCCTTACAGAGTTTTGTACATCTGCTGTCTGAAGAACGTACTAAAACCATGAGCATTTACCTGACATTTAAACATTTTAAATGGCTGGTGCCTGTAGTCATCAACTGTATGACAATGTTCCTTGTGAGTAACGAGACTCCATTTCCTTTGTTCTTGGACAGGAGAATCAGATGACAGGGAGCAGTCAAAATTGGAAGTTAAAGTTTGGGATCCAAATAGCCCACTTACGGATCGGCAGATTGACCAGTTTTTAGTTGTAGCACGGTGAGTATAGCAAAGTTGAATCAATAAATTTCTTTTTATTAAAGAACCCACAGGTATATGTATTTTCCTCTCTTTACATTCTGCTTTTCTTATTGGTGGTATTCTTTAGTTATGTAAGAAAGCCTACTATATAATATACCATTTTCTGAAGAATATGATTTAATATCACTTAATTTCTGTTTATGGAGCCCTAGTGGTGCAGTAGTTAAAGCACTTGGCTGCTAACCAAAAGATAGGTGGTTTGGACCTCTCCATGGGAGAAAGATGTGGCAGTCTGCTTCTGTAAAGATTTACAGTCTTGGAAACCCTATGGGCAGTTCTGCCGTATCCTCCAGGGTCGCTATGAGTCAGAATCGACTCAGCAGGAATGGGTTTGGTTTGAGTTTGGGTAATTTCCTTTTAAAAAATAAACACAGGTTTATTGATTTTTACTCATTAAAAATATAACAAATGCTCCTTGTAAAACATTGAAACATTATGAAAAGGTGTAAAGAAATTTAACACCAGAAATCCCATGTCTTTAATTAAAGCACCCCTGCTAACAGTTTTGACTTGCATTTCTCTAATGGCTAATGATCGTGAGAATCTTTTCATATGTTCATTGGCCAGTTGAATATCCTCTTTGATGACGTATCTGTTCGTGTCTTTTGCCTGTTTTTTAATTGGGTTGTTTGTCTTTTTGTGGTTGAGTTGTTGAAGTCTTCTATATATTTTTGAAATTAAATCTTTATCACATATGTCGTTACCAAAGATTTTTTCCCAGTCTGTAGATTGTCTTTTTACTCTTTTGATTCACATAAGTGTTTAATTTTTGTAAGGTTCCAGTTATCTGATTTGACTTCTGCTGTTTGTACATTAATAGTTGTGTTTGCCAATTTTTTTTTTTTTTTTTTTTAAATCAGGTCCCATAGTTTTGTCCCTATGTTTTCACTTACTACTACAAATGAAAACAATAAAATTCTGCCTTGTTTTCTCAAGATTAAGGAAGGAAGAGAAGGAAGCAGTTCAGCCAGGAATCTAGCCTTAGCCCTCTCAAAGGAAAGCCCAATGCTTAGCAGTAGGCCTTAATAGCAAATGTGAATGGGAGAACATTGTCACTCATGCATGGATGCAGCAAGAGGAGTTCAGGTTACACGTTCTTATTGCTAACTGAATAAGCCATGTCTAGAAAAAGAGATCACCCCTGCTAAAATGGCACTTATCAAAAAACAGAAAACAACAAAGGCTGGCAAGGGTGTGGGGAGATTGGAACCCTTATCCACTGTTGATGAGATTGTAAAATGGTATAACCAGAATGGAAAATGGTATGGTGCTTCCTCAACAAACTAGAAATACCTTATGATCCGGTAGTCCTACTTTTAGGTATAGTCCCTAGAGATCTAATACTAAAGACACAATCAGACAGTGCACACCTATGTTTTTTTAGCACTATCACAATGGCAAAAAGATGGAAACAACGTAAGTCAGTGGATGATGGATACACAAAATGTGGTACATACATATAATGGAACTATGCAGCCATAAAGAAAATGATGAGTTCTCAAGATATAATGTGGATGAATCTGGAGGACATTATGCTGAGTGAAATAAGTCAAGCACAAAAGGACAAATACTTCATGATCTCACTATTATAAAAAGAGAAGAATTAGGTATACGTATAGACACCAGCGATCACTGGTGGTTACCAGGGCTGGTGGACAGGAGATTGCTTTCTAGATAGTAGACACTTGTTATTTCTGGTGATGGGAAATATAACACCGGATGTGGATGAAGCGTGCACAGCTTGACCAAGGTAAATGATGGCACTAAGAAGTACGCGAGAAAAAAGGACATTTTTGGTAAATCTATCACATATACAACTTTGCACCAACTAAAAAATAGGAGTGTAGTTACATGTATTATGTATGTATGCATACAAGTATATAGGGGTGTGTGTGTGTGTGTGTGTATGTATGGGCATACATAGATGTATCTATATGTAGGTGTATTTATGTGTAAGTATGCATAGCTATATATTCATATATACAATAAAAACATAGGGGACACAAACACGGATACTTCTTAGACTTAATCAAACACCTCACGGGATTGTTTTATGGGATCTGAAGGCTTAAGCCCATAGTCTCGTGGGACAACTCAATCAATTGGCATAATATAGTACATGAAGTTTATGTTCTGCATTCTAGCTTGGTGAGTATTGTCTGGGGTCTTAAAACCTTGCAAATGGCCATCTAAGATATGTCTACTGGTTTCTGCGTATCCAGAGTAAAAGAGAAGGACGGAAACCAAAGACGCAAACAAAAAACTAGCCCATGGGACTAATAGTCTACATGAACTGTGATCTCATCTGCTCTGAGCCCAGAAGAACTAAATGGTGCCCGGCTACCACTACTGAACATTCTGATCAGGAACACAGTAGATGGATCCTGATCAAACAGGAACAAAATGTGAAACAGAACTCAAAATCTTCTTTTTTAAAAAAAAAACCTGTTGCTGCTGAGTCGATTCTTAAACTCATGGCAACCCTATGTATGTCAGAGTGGAGCTGTACTTTGTAGGGTTTCAATGGCTGATTTTTTTTTTATTGTGCTTCAGATGAAGATTTACAGAGAAAATTAGTTTTTCATTAAACAATTAATACACATATTATTTTGTGACACTGGTTGCCAACCATGTGATGTGTCAACACTCTCCCCTTGTCAACCGTGGGTTCCCGATTACCAGCTTTCCTGTCCCCTCCTGCCTTCATGTCCTTGCCCCTGGGCTGGTGTGCCCCTTTAGTCTTGTTTTGTTTTATGGGCCTGTCTAATGTTTTGCTGAAGGATGAACCTCAGGAGTAACTTTAGTACTGAGTTAAAAGGGTGTCTGCAGGGGCCATATTCTTGGGGTTTCTCCAGTCTCTGTCAGACCAATAAGTCTGGTTTTTTTTTTTTTTTTTTTTTTTGTGAGTTAGAATTTTGTTCTACATTTTTCTCAAGCTCTGTCTGGGACCCTCTGTTGTGATCCCTGTCAGAGCAGTTGGTGGTAGTAGCCGGGCACCATCTAGTTGTGCTGGACTCAGTCTGGTGGAGGCTGTGGTAGTTGTGTGTCCATTAGTCATTTGGACTAATCTTTCCCTTGTGTCTTTGGTTTTCTTCATTCTCCCTTGCTCCAGATGGAGTGGGACCAGTGGAGTATCTTAGATGGCCACTCACAGGCTTTTAAGACCGCAGATGCTACTCACCAAAGTAGGATGTAGAACTTTGTTTTAATAAACAAAGTTGTGCCAGTTGAGGTAGATCTCCCCCGAGACCATGGTCCCCAGCCTTCAGCCCAGTAATTTGGTCCCTCAGGGAGTTTGGATGTGTCTACGAAGCTTCTGTGACCTTGCCTTGGTCAAGTTGTGCTGGCTTCCCCAGTAAGAACTCAAATTCTTAAGGAGTCCATACTTACTGGACCAGTTGAGCCTGGAGAATCCCTGAGACTGTTGCCTTGAGATACTCTTTAAACCTTGAACCAAAACCATTCCATGATGTCATCTTTTAGCTAATTAACAGATTGGCTCATAAAATAAACAATATCCATGAGTACTGTGTTCCTTTAAAAAAAATTATCTATACGAGACCAAGCAGTCATCATTTACTCAGAAGCAAAGACGCGAAGGCAAGGGGACAGGGAAACTAGATTACTGGAAATGGAATAACCAGAATGTAAATAATGAGAAAGTTGACAGACTGTGAAAAATTTAACGAATGTCACTAAACAAATTGTATAGAAATTGTTAAATGGGAACCTAATTTGCTGTGTAAACTTTCACTGAGAGCACAATAAAATATTTTAATTAAAAAAAAAAAAGTAAATGATGCTCATGTGGAAGATTGCCACAAAACAGAAAGTAAATGAGATTATTATAGCTTTGTAATAGTGGAAAAATTAGAAAAAACCTAAAAGTACATCAGCAAGCAATTGATAAATGAATTGTAGTATATTCATATAATGAACTATTACTTTGCAGCAATTAAGATGAATGAATTAGAGCTATATGTAGCAAAGAGAGAAATCTCAAATAACACTGAGTGAGGGTGCTACGTACAGTGAGATCATTTATGGAAATTTTTGCACTGAGTAAAACAATTCTTCATTAATGGATACACACACATATAGTAATAGTACAAAATCTTGAGAAAAAATGAAAGTCGAATTTAAGAAAGTGGTTACATCTGTGAAGAGGGGAGAGGAGTGGGATCTGGGAATACATTATGGGAGCTCTAACCAAATTTATAATACCTCATTCCTTTAAAAATATGAACCTAACATGACAGAATATTAAAATCAGGTAGATCTGGGTGGTGGACCCAAGGGTCTTCAGATTATTCTCTGTGATTTTCTCTTGAATTTTTTTCATAATACAAAGGAAAAAAAGTAGTTTTAGCCCACCTTAGACCAGCACTGTTTCATAAAGTCTTCCACCAGGGAAGTCACACAGCGTATTGGTGGCCGGGCATTTGGACTCCAGAGCCCAGCACCTAACCATTAGATGATTGGATAAAGACACTTGATGTACATCGTTGGGGAAGAGCCCATCAGCAGAGCAGGAGAGAGAAGAGTCAGGAGTAGAAATGAACATGTTGATGGAACCACTGTGTTAGAAGTTACAGACACGTTACCTGGATTGTGGATTATTTAACAGATGTTGTACTTTTCAGATTTGGTCTGCATTTTGTTCCTTCTTTTTCCTCATTGCCAAGGGCCATATGTTTTCTTTTTCCTCGAAGCCAGCATTAGGGGCACCTAGGAGGTACACCTAGGGTCTTTTTCAATTTTTATTTTTTTAAAGAAAAAAACAAAAAACTCCGCTAGTCTCACCCCTTTAGTAGCAAGGGAGAATGAAGAAAACTAAAGATACAAGGGAAAGATTAGTCCAAAGGACTAATGGACCACAACTACCACAGCCTCCACCAGACTGAGTCCAGCACAACTATATGGTGCCCGGCTACCACCACTGACTGCTCTGACCAGGATCACAACAGAATGTCCCAGAGAGAGCTGGAGAAAAATGTAGAACAAAATCCTAACTCACAAAAAAAAAACAGACTTACTGGCCTCACAGAGATTGGAGAAACCTTGAGAGTATGGCCCCCAGACACCCTTTCAGCTCAGTAATGAAGTCACTCCTGAGGCTCAGCCTTTAGCCAAAGATTAGACAGTCCCATAAAACAAAACAAGACTAAAGGGGCACACCAGCCCAGGGGCAAAGACTAGAAGGCAGGAGGGGACAGGAAAGACAGGAAAGCTGGTAATAGGGAACCCAAGGTTGAGAAGGGAGCGTGTTGTCATGTCGTGGGGTTGTTAACCAGTGTCATAAAACAATATGTGTACTAACTGTTTAATGAGAAACTAGTTTGTTCTGTAAACTTTCATCTAAAGTACAATAAAATAAATGAAGTTCTTTCAGTAATTTTAAAAAAAGAAAAAAAAAATCCTCTAAATACAGATTAAGGCTACAATCAGATACCACTTCACACCCACCAGACTGGTTAAAGTGTAAAAGACTGACAGTGTCAAGCATTGGTGAAGATGTGGGGCATCCAGAACTCTCACACCCTGCTGGTGAGGGTGTAAGTTGGTACAGCTACTTTGGAAAACTGTTTGCTATCATCTAACACATACATCCCTTGAATTTCATTTCTAAATATATGCCTAGCCGAAATATGTATCACACCTGTGCACCAAAGGGTATGTATAGAAATGGCATTAGTGGCAGTATTTGTAGAGCCCCAAACTGGAAACAACTTAAATGCCCCTCAACAGCAGAGTGGTTAAATACCCTGGGGTGGGAGTGAGGGGTGGGGAATCATATAAAGGAATGCAACAGTGCAAGGAAGATGAATGAACACAGCTACAGCTAACAACATGGATGAATCTCCAAAACATGAGAAGCAGTTCATAAAACAAGTACGTTTTATGAATCTCATTGTTTAAAGTTCAAACACAAGTAAAACCAGTCTACCACATTAGAATCCTGGAAGGTGGTTCCCTTTGGGGAAGAAGGAGGAAACCGGGACTGGGAGGGACTGAGAGGCGTCTTCTGGAGTGCTGCTCACATTCTGTTTTGACCTGGGTGGTGGTGACATTAGTGCATTCATTTGACAATAATTAAATAGCTGTACGTTTTGCAGCTTTCTATATGTATGTTATATTCTAATTAAAATGTTTAGAAAATCTTTTCTTCAGCTAGCTAGTTTAAAATACATGCAGCAAGCCTTAACCTTCATTTTATGCTTCATGTCCTGAAGTAAAGGTTCTTTATATATAGGACGACCTTCTAAATCATTAAATGAAAACGAGTATTATGGTAATTGTTTTGTTTTTAATGGGATTTTAGCAGAAATCTATTATCTGTTGAGTCCTGATAGGAAGGGGTTGTTACAGTTAATGATACCTCATTTCAAGGAAAAAATGTCCCTGGGATTGCCCAATTTGGGCTGAAAAAGTGGTCAGAACTTGCTTTGCATGGTAGTCAAACTCTGCAGCTGATCCACCTTTTCATGTTCTGAGCAGAGTTGACTACTGAATTTACTCCATGGTGTTTTATAATAGATTTTCCCCTTCCATCTTTATGCCCAAATAGGCTGCTTTTTAAAATTTTATTATAATGATCTGTATATGGTTAATTGGCTTGTCAGATATTAAATCTTATATAAAATACTTTTAATTTGATATTTGATTCTCAAGCACCCAAGAACTTGTTTTGACTTTTCTTTTACAATTTTTCATTTACTACCCAAATGTGTTTTTATTTTTTATTTTTTTTTTAACATACAAATGTGACAGAGGCTTAATTTTTCCTCGTTTTTGTGGTTTCTTTAGTGCCGTGGGGACATTTGCCCGAGCCCTTGATTGCAGCAGTTCCGTGAGGCAGCCTAGTCTGCATATGAGTGCAGCCGCAGCTTCCCGGGACATCACCCTGGTAAGATGCATTTTGAAATTTGTGGTAGTTTTTCCTTCCACTACTTGTGTAAATATAAAGACAATATAGCGACATTACAGGTAGACATAAGGGTTTTCTAGCTCTTAGCCCTGCTGACTGCTCGGTGGATTTGGCTTGGCTGGTTGGTTAATTGGGTTGTCTCATTCCTAAGTGACCTCTTGTGTTTGTGAGTTGAGACAAGTAATAATGCCTTTTGCATAGACAGGTATGAAATAGTAAAAAAATATACTTTTGGGGAAATGATTCACCATTCTGATGCACCTGTTTTCACTTCCGTGCATCTTTTTCTGTCTTCCTTCTATGTATGACACAGTGATTGTTGTTGGCTGTGGTTCAGTTGACCCTTGATTCATGGTGACCAAGCACAGTGTTATGAACACTGCCCAGTCCCGTGCCATCCCCATGACTGGTTGCAGATTGGACCCTTGTGATCCATAGGGTTTTCATTGGTTGATTTTTCAAAGTAGATCACCCAGGCCTTTTTTCCTAGTCTGTCGTAGTCCGGAAGCTCCACTGAAACCTGTCCTGCATCATAGCAACCTGAAAGCCCCCACTGACGGACAGGTGGTGGCTGCACATGAGGCACACTGACTGGGAGTCAAACCCTGATCTCCTGCAGGGAAGGCAAGAATTCTGTGACTGAACCATAATTGTCTAGATCATACGTAATGTTTTAAACTTTTTTTTTTAGGTGAAATTGTTGCTATAGGACTTATTCTATTGCCATGATGTTATTCAGTTTCAATACAGGGAAACCTGTGAAAACCAAAACTCGACTGGACTGCCTTGTTTTTCCTGGTCTCGCAGGTTTTCCACCTTTGACAGGGTGCAGTCTTAGCACTTTTCTGTCACTCTCTGTGAGTGGAAAAAATTTTCTTTCCGCCTCTGACAGGTTTCCCCTTACAGGTTCCAGCTTTCACAGGTTTTACTGTATTTAAAGTTCTGGTGCCTGTCCATTAGAAGGGGGTTCTGTTTTCTTATGTGATTTTATTACATTGTGATTGCTATTTTCTAAAACAATTTCCTTTTTCCCTTGGTGATCAAATGAAACTTCCCATATGCAATTTAATTATACCACTAGTGCCAGACACGGCCTGGCACTGGCCTCAGTAAAGTAGACCCACAGGTTTCTTCCTGATTAAAGTTACTGTATTTGATTCCCACGGCCCTTTGAGGTGTACTTGGTAGGATGCTCATTTTACAGATGAGAAAACTGAGACGTGGTAAGGTAATTATTTGACCAGTATTTATTATATGTAATAAAACTTCCAATTTTGCTTTCTGTTGGAATACAGTGACAGGTTTTATTAATTTCTCATTTTATACCAATTTGAAATGCTTTCCACAGTCTTTTTTGCGATAATATGAAAACTAATATTGGATTGCTTATCAGATTTGTTTCTTATCTTGCATCCTGTGTAGTTTTGCATAATTACAGATTATAATGAAACCAATAGTAGTTCATAGCCATTTTGGAACCCTTTCTTTATCATTTCTCCAGGACTAGAATGTTGTATATAGAAGCATGTTGTGCTCTCTAGATTGGTACATAAATATTTTATGCAAGAGTTCAGGAATTCCAAAGTTGGTTTGCATTTTGGCTGTTTAGAACTTGGAGAGTACTTTACCGCAGAAGCGAGAGTACAGATGCCATGTTTGTAAGCACCTTCAATATCCTGTCATTAGATAGTTATGTGAACCAGAACTACATGGAATCTAATCACCACCTGTATATTTTTTTTCGTGTTGAGAAGGGTTTTTTCCCCCCAAGTCTAGAATTAATGTATGCTTATTATGGAAAATTGAAAAATAGAGTACCCCCACCCAAAAAAAAGCTTTGTTCTCATTACCAAGAGTTTGAAGAATATTCTTACCGTTTTGTCATGTTTCCTTCCAGACTCTTTTTGTGTGTTATAAACTAATATAATTATAAACAATAATAAATTACAGAATGCTACAAAGGATAATGAATTACAGAATGCTACAGAGGATAATGTAATAAAGCCCCACATAATGCCACCTAGAGCAAACATTAATATTTTATATTTTTCAGATTAAAAAGAAAATCTAACCATTTTAATTGTTGAAATTGACAATATTCTCTCCGTAGCCCTATTCCCATTCCTTCATCTGTACTCCCCACCTCCAATGCCCCGTCTCAAATCAGTGAATCTGATATGTATTTATTCTGTGTTTTTAATATTTTTACTCTGTATTTATGTATATATAAACAACAAAAGCATTGTTTTACATGTGTTTAAATTTACTGTATAACACCTTGCCATTTGCCCATTATTGAGATCTAGCCATGTTAGACATATTAGAAGTACATATCTACTTTACTTATTTTAATTGTTTTTTGTAGTATTTGTGGTATTCTTTCATAGGAAAACATCATTCTTTATGCAGTCTCTTACTGGTGAACATCTGGATTGTTTTCAAAACATTTTTCTTTTGCTATTACCCATAGGGCTGTACTGAAAATTCCAATACATGTCTGTGTGAGCATGAGTGAGAGCTTTCTAGGCTATAACTAGAATCTGTATGCTGATACGTATAGTACTGCTCATTTTGAATTTCACCAACCAAAAACTCAATGCTGTTGATTCCATTCCATCTCACAGCGACCCTAGAAGGTTTCCAAGGCTGTAAATCTTTATGAAAGCAGACTCCCACATCATTCTCCCTTGGAGCAGCTGGTGAGTTCCAACTGCTGACCTTATTGTTAGAAGCCCAGTGCTTTAACTGCTGCGCCATCAGGGCTCCTTGTTTTTCACCAGATGTAGCCAGATTATTCTGCACACCATGGTAGTAATTTATAATCCCACAAGCAGTTGTAAGTGTTCCCTTTTCTTCATCTCATTACAGTATCCTCTACACTTGGCATTTTCAGACTTCTAAATTTTTGCCAGCTTCATGCTCTGTCATTTTAATTTGCATTTAACTTTACAAGGTTGAGCACATTTTCGTGTTTATTTGCTGCTCATTTTTTTTTTCAATTGTACTTTGCTGCTCAGTTTTAGATTCATATTCTTTGCCCATTTTTTTCTAACAGTTTTAAGTTTTATTCACATTTAGGTCTGCAATCTGTGTGGAATTTATTTTTATGAGTGGAGTGAGGTAGGGATCTAATTTTATTTTTTTCCATATGAAAAATTACTTGTCCCAACACCTGTTATTAAATTTGTCATTTCTCCATGATTTGTAATTCTCCTTCTATGTTATTTCGAAGTCATAGATCCGCTGAAAGCAGCCCTGGTGGTGCAGTGAGTAAAGTGCTCGGCTGCTAACTGAAAGAACGATTGGCAGTTGGAACCCACCAGCCACTCTGTGGGAGAAGGATGTGGTAGTCTGCTTCTATAAAGATTACAGCCTTGGAAACCCTATGGGGCAGTTTCTACTCTGCCCTATAGGGTTGCTATGAGTTGGAATTGACTTGACGGCAGTGGGTTGGGTGGGTGGTTGGTGGATATGCTGAAATCTGCTTCTGAACTCTTTTAAGCTGTTGTGCTGTTGGGTCATCTGTTTGTCTTTTCACCAGCACCACATGACGGCTTTATAATGCAAGTCCTGTGTTAGCTTCCTTTTTAACACACAGTTGAAGAAATTTAAAACCTGCAGGTTTGTAGTTGCCTTTTTATCCCATGTTTTTCCCCTAACGATGTAACAGATATTTTTGTCTATCATTATAAGAGCTTTGGATTTTTTTTCCTAATGTTGCATGATACTGCCTTATGTAGATTTACTGTATATTTACGTAACCAGTGTCTTGTGGTTTAACATTATTATTATTCTTATTAGATAATGCTCCCCAGATTATAACTGAGGATGCTGTCCTTGTTATAGTCCTGTATATTCTCTCTACCCTGTCTGAGGAGGGAGAGTAGACAAATCTGTTACTAAAGTGGCTGTTGGGGCCCATCCATCAGGGTAATGGGTCTGACAGGGCAAAGAGCACTGGTTGGCAGCTGCAGCAACTCTCTGCCTCCCCCTGCTGCTGATTTTGTGAAACAGCAAATGAATTTCTTTTGGAAGAGGGGCAGAGTTGAAGATTCAGTATTTGTTTCTATCAGTGAAGGCTATTAATAAAAGAAGCATTTTAAAGGAAACATTGCCTATGTATCTTAATTAGCTTAAATATTATTTTGGGTGTATTTTCATGAAATACTTGCCTAATATGCTCCTTTCAAGAAGGTGCTTTCGCACCCTCCAGGGTTTTCATCTCTTCTGTTTTGCTTCCTTTAGTGTTCTGTAATTTGGAGGTCACTGGTATATTATATTATACAATATATGTAATCACGTTGTTGTTGTTAGGTTCCTTCAAATCGGTTCTGACTCACAGTGAACCTTTGTACAGCAGAACGAAACACTGCCTGGTCCTGTGCCATCCTCACAATTACTGCTACGTTTGGGCCCATTGTTGCGGCCACTGTGTCAGTCCATGTCGTTGAAGGTCTTCCTCTTTTTTGCTGACCATCTGCTTTACCAAGTATGATGTCCTTCTCCAGAGACTGGTTCTTCCTGACAACATGTCCAAAGTACTCAAGACAAAGTCTCACCATCCTCACTTCCAAGGAGCACTCTTGCTGTACTTCTTCCAAGACAGACTTATTCTTTCTTGTGGCAGTCCATGGTATATTCAGTATTCTTTACCAGCACCATAATGCAAGGCATCAATTCTTCTTCGGTATTCCTTATTCATTGTCCAGCTTTCACATGCATATGAGGTGATGGAAAATATCATGGCTTGGGTCAGGTGCACCTTAGTCTTCAAAATGACATCTTTGCTTTTCAACACTGTTAATTTTTTTATTGTACTTTAGATGCAGGTTTACAGAGCAAACTAGTTTCTCATTAAACAATTCATACGTTTACTGTTTTGTGGCGTTGGTTCCCAACCTCACCACATGTCAATGCTCTCCCCTGCTCGACCTTGGGTTCCCCATTACCAGCTTTCCTATCCCCTCCTGCCTACTTGT